GGAAACCCGTGTTAGACGAAGGCGAAAAAAATGGGAGCACTGAAGAGTTAGCAATAAAACAAAGTGTCAGAGGTGGCTAGTTTAGCCAAGATAATTTTGGTCCGCTGGAACCGGGAGGAGAGGGGTAACCTTTGGGCCTTTTGAGAATATTAGGCGTTTTCTTTTTCAAGATTTCCTATCCATGATAAACAAAATGTAAACAAAGCCTCTAAGGCCCAACTGGCTCATAGCTCTCGGCACATACCTCCAACGTCTGTCGACATGCTACTAATAGTAATAGACATGGGATAATCGACACTCTTCAAGTGAGCTTGCATTAATGTGTTAACATTTCTTTCAGGGACCTGTAGGCGATGTCGGTGGAACGGGGCTCCAAGGATCAAGGGGTCCAACTGGCCGTGATGGAAGGACTGGATCACAAGGGGATCCAGGGGAAGATGGTGACCTGGTATGCTATCAATAACTGTTTATCTGCCCAGTAATACTAGTCGGTATAGACTGGCTGTATTGTTGGGTGAATAACTGCAGGTGATCTGGTATGCTATCAATAACTGTTTATCTGCCTAGCAATACTAGTCGATATAGACTGGCTGTATTGTTGGGTTAAGAACTGTAGGTGACCTGGTGTGCTATCAATAACTGTTTATCTGCCTAGCAATACTAGTCGGTATAGACGGGCTGTATTGTTGGGTTAATAACTGCAGGTGATCTGGTATGCTACCAATAACTGTTTATCTGCCTAACAATACTAGTCGATATAGACTAGCTGTATTGTTGGGTTAATAACTGTAGGTGTATTTACTTGGTTTTAATACATGATAAAAGTAACAACGTAATGATTTCCATTCCCATATTGTTAACTTGTTTACACATAGGGAGAGAGTGGTTCTGTTGGGCAGCCAGGGGTGGAAGGAACCGCGGTAGGTTTTTTGTTCTTGTTTTTGTTTTTTGTTTTTTGTTCCTCTCCTTTTTTATTTGCAAAGATTAACAATGCTCAAGTTTATTTCGAGGAACAATTAATATTTATTTAGAGTAGAACGAACAATATCGTTTTCTTGAATGGAGGGTGCCCAGTGTTTAATCGTTGATTTTCTTCCTTCTTATGACGACGTAGGGCCAGCAAGGAAAAACTGGGGCAACTGGTGCCGCTGGCTATCCAGGACCGCAGGTGATACTGATTATGATAATCATGAACAAGAGTTGTCTTTACCAAGTTACTTAGCAGACCTACTCGGATAGCAGAAGATATGTTCGTTGGCACAAAGTTGTTGGGCAGATAACAACAGTAGCGACTAGATATATTATAATAATAGTAATAGTACCTTTGTTTAAAACAGACCAACGTGGGGAGCGTTTGCACAATGTTCCGAGCCAGAGACTCACGTTAAAAACTCTCCACAAAAAAATTTAAAAAAAAAAAGAAGAAGAAAGAAGGAAAGACATGTGGTTTGTTGATTGATAAGTACATGGAGATAAGTGGATTGTTGATCCTAACTGTCGTACCTAATTTTTGTCTTCTGTTTAAATAAGGGTTTAGACGGTCAGCAAGGCTCTCCAGGACCTGTTGGTTTAACGGTGAGATAAAGCTAGTTATTTTTTTGTACAAATTACGTTATTATTTTCGAAAACGGTTGCAATCTTTCAGTGTCTAGATGAAGCAAAATCAGGCTGATTACTACCGTTGGTATCTCGTCATGGAAGCTGGTCATATATCTGTCTAAAATTGAACGATAGACGTTTAAACGTTTAACCAAAACGTAACGTCTTCTGCAAAGAATATTCAGTTCATTATTGTTGACGAAGATTGTGCGTATTAGGAGTTTCGCTAGTAGCTAAGAAGTATGGTCAAAATTATAACTATCAGCAGGGAAATGACACGCTTTTTTTAGCAGATAGCTCAGAGATCCGAGAACTACAAATAAAATGACAGCTGTTAAATTGACTGAAATTGAGTGTAACTGAAAGCTTAAAAATCGTGAAAAATGTAAATTCGAACACTTCCATTCAACCATTCCAGTCAGATATTCGAGTACATGCAGTTGGGCTGACCAGACCACCTGAACTTTTTCCCAAAAAATGGATTCCAAAAAATGGTATAGATGAGAGGTTAGACCTAGACATAGACATATGACTTGGTCGCACACTTACCTATGGCAACGGTGCGTTTCATAGACTTGATAAGCAGAGTCTACAGGACGCACCAGCTAGTTTACAGGTGCGGCAAGAAAGCAAAATAACAAAGTAAACTGTATATTTGGGAATAAATATTAAACTAAACTAACTAAGATTATATATTAGTTCGGAGAGCATTTTTAAGTCAGTGAAAACATGTTATTTGATACTCAGGGTATGCCCGGTCAGTCCGGATCTCCAGGAGCTCCCGGCACTGTGGGTCTTAAAGGTTCCAGTGGCAGGCCAGGATCCCAAGGTGAAAGCGGCTACACAGGCATGACGGGGGAACAGGGGCCCCAAGGAAACCCTGGGATAAATGGCCAAGAAGGAGAACAAGGAAGCCCCGGTGCAACAGGATCGAAGGGAGCAACGGTGAGAATCTAAAATTGAAATTAAGAATTATTTTCAATTTTATTTCTTTGTTTAAAATCCGTTTGAGGGTCTATGTCACCGACCAGGTATCTTGCAAAAATTGACCTGTTTTTTCAACTTTGCCAACAGTATTTTCAGATTATCATTATTCTTTGGTATCTTCTTCTTTACAAAACCATCATTTTGAGGTTTGATGTACTAGAATCTGAAAGTCATTTTGTACATTCGACCCTGGTTTTAATCAAACGATGGGTAATACCTTCCACGGGATAATCTAGTCACTATCCAGTGGATATCGTAACTTGTTTTGTCAACACGTATTTACTGGATAGGAATTTATCCGAATGAAGGACAGCGTTATCAACCTTGAGAAAAACAGCTGGGCCACGGAAAAGGACTGAAAGTATCGCCACCAAGCTCTTGTAAACAACTTACTTAATAAGCTCTCTGTGCTAACGTTTTGTTCTTCCTTTTCAGTATTCCGAAAAGTATTCAGTGAAAATATTTTAGTTTCACGTTCTGAATAATTCAACTGTCTATTATCGTCTCCATTAGTTACTTTCTTTTTCTTTGGTGCTTTTCGTAAATGCTTTAAGGGAGTGGGGGTTAAGCGTATACTCAAACTCAGAGAGTATAAAACGCGAAAAAAAACTTGAAACACGGTCAACGTTTCTGCCTTGAATAAAGTTAAAAACAAAACAATAAGGTTCTATGGTAATAAACATTTTACGTTTAAACACGGACTCTATTCCATCCCTAAGGGCGACCCAGGGCCGTCGGGTGAACAAGGAGAACAAGGAGTCACTGGAGAACAGGTTAAACAGGAAACAAGTTTGTGTTAATTGTCTTTTTAACATCCGTGTCGGCCACTAACAAATGCAAGCTTACGCTTCCGTTTTGAACTGATATATAACTTGACGATTACGTGATTTTTGGCCCCTGCCTTCTTTCGCCTCGAAATCGTCCTTTTTTCTAACCCTTAGTTAAAGTGAGGCTCATTTAGGGATAGTTTGTAAGCCATTTCGTAGTAGTAATTGGTCATAATAAGCTACAGGGAGACTCGCTACGGATTCCCTGGTGCTCTGTTCAGTGAAAGGCCATCCAAGCGTTCTACTCCAGGTCGTCCCAGATTCTTTTCTTAATTTCTACACTCGTGGCATATAATTTACACATCTCTCTTCTTTATTTTCTCTGTTATCTTTTACCGTAAAAAGGGATCAAATAGCGGGAGAAATTTCTATTATACCGCGAAAGGGTTAAAAGAGTAGCCATACTATTATATATTTTCTGAAAATAGACGACTCAGGATAGCGGCTTTAGGATTTTATATAGTTTCTCATCATATCTCCAGTATAAAAATTTCCATTTTTGACAATGTTTTTCTACATGTATGCTTCAGGGTGAGCCCGGCGATATCGGAGAAACAGGACGCCCAGGAAGCCTTGTAAGCGAAGTTTATTTAAATGATCTCAGTTATGTATATAATATTGGATGATTTTCGGCAACTATCAGTTCCAGAGCGACTACCTTTGCATTTTTAAGTGATTATATCTTTCGCATAGGGTTCTGCTGGAGTAACTGGTCGAGCAGGATTTACTGGAGACAAAGGAAGTGAGGTATGTCAAACCAGGCTGTATCACTTTCGTTTTGCTGTTGCTACACGTTGAGGGACAATTTGATACACCTAACGGCGAGACAGAATTTGTTTAATTTTCGCGTCGATGTATCTGTAAAATCTTGAGGCTGCAGTAAAACTACTTTTTCACAGATTTTGTAGGTGTAAATTTACTTAAGCTATGTCACGTCAGCATTCGAAATTTTTGTCCGAAGTATTTTTCGGAAATGAGACGTGTAAAAT